GCTATTTAAAAACTCTCTCAATGTAATTACTAATGAAAACTTTGAACTGAAACCGTGCCATATAACACATATGACAAGAGAACACTTTCTACAGAGTTTAGGTATAAGACTAATGTATAAAAAGACATTTAACTTAGGAAGAGTAATAGTCCTGCTTACTTGTGCTGGTTTAGAAACTGGAAGTTGTCACTCAGGCAAAACGTCTTCAGGTCCATCACTGCAGTTCCCCAGGGATTGTGCGTGAGAAATGTCTGAGATGAAGGGAGGAGGACGAGAGGGAATGGAGCTGCACGCTGAGCTGCAGGTTTATGTAAGTGATGCTCTGCGGTGGGCGGGTCGGGCGTCTAATCCAGATGCATGCTGATTAAAACCTGATGGGCTCTCATAACTGACAGCTCAACTGCAAATCACTTCATCAAGGCCAGTTTCTCATAAAGCAACGTATTTACAGAAAGTTTGCTAATGGGCTTTAATACACGATGAACTGTGCAGAGATGCTTTTTCATCATTTTTACCAAATTTGTCCATTTTCCCCATTTTTAATCCATTTTTACACAGTGACCGAGACCTTTGTTGTATGTAAATACATATAAAGATATTCCTTATCTGCAGTTGGCTGTGAACACCAACACACCTCTCCCGCCGCATCAAATCTGCTTCATTTCCTTGTTGCTGCCTCCGATGTTGACGCTCAAAACAGTCTCCAATTTGAGTTATTTGTACTGGAACTACAGGATCTCTGCTGGTTTTAGTCCAGTCATATATCACTCGATTTCATTGATTGATTTTTGGGCCACGTCAGTGTAAAGTTTATTTATTTGAGTTAAATGCTAATTCTAATTCAGCTGCTGCAGTAAAACCTTTTAGTTGTGTTCTTTTACATGGTAAAGTGGTTTTTGAGAGGGAGAAAATTAATAACACTTTACAATAAGGTCTCATTTGGTAACATTAGTTAATGCATTTGCTAACATGAACTAACAATAAGCAATGCATTTATTAATTTATTACAATTAATGAATTACAATATTGCATTATTATTCATGTTAGTTCACAGTGCATTAATGTTGACAATTTTTGATTTTAAAAAGCATTATTAAATGTTGAAATTAACATTAGCAAAGATTATTAAATACTGTATAAGTATTGTTTATCATTAGTTCAAGTAAACATTTTAGTATCACTGAGATACTATCATAGTTTTTATTAATATTTTGAATTGATTTTATTGTTATATTTTCTGTTTTAAAAAGTTTTAGTAATTGTATTGTGTTTTGTCATTTTTATTCGTTTTTAAAATATTTCGATATAGTTTTCATTAATTTTATTTCAGTTTTAATTTCAGTTATTTTAGTGCATCTAAATGAAATGAGAATGAAGATTTTATTTAATTGCAGTTTATTTATTTTCTTTTATTTTATGAAAAATATATATATATATATATTTTTTAAATATTTACAAATAAAATATATTTTATTTTATAAATTGTTTTATGTTTTTAGTTTCAATTAACTATAATAATCCGAACTAATGTAGTCGAATAATTTTAACAAATTAAACCTTACTGTAAAATGTTACTAGAAAATTGTACTGGTTTAGGCTAATCTGTTGCAGTTTGTTAACGCTGAAAATCAGTTTCATTAGCGATCCAAACGAATGCATCAGACACACATTTATTTCTGGTATTGGTGGGAATGGGAGTGCGGCTGTGGATGTTCAGTCAGTAGGTCAGGATTTCTCACACACACACACACACACACACACACTATGATGCAATGCTTATGTCTGCGTAACCTTATTACACAAAGAGAGACATTTTCTAGGAGCCATTACTACATGTAAATATACAAATGATTATCAGCACAATTTCAGTGGAAATTTGAAAGATCCACATGTTTGTGTTCAACCTGACGACCATTTTCATGCTTCACTGGAAGAACAACATCCGAGTGTCAGATGATAGAGTCCCATGATCAATGTCACCAATTTGATTAGTGACCTAGAAATAGTGCAGAATTTGAAATATTTATTATTCATTCTAATCTTTATAGAAAGACGCATAATCTTTCTTTGTTTTAAATATATTCATTAAAAAATGTCAAAATCATAAAAAATATTATTTGTATACAACCAAAAATAGATGGAAGTGAATGACACCGGAAGCCAGACACATTAAATTTACAATTGGCCGTACCTGTACATTTACGGGAAAATAAGGTGTATTTATATATATATATATAAAAAATTTCCATTAATATACCTCCATTAATTTTAGGGACATTAACCCTAAAGAAACCCTAAAATACAACCCAATGCAGGGCAAAATTCAAAATACATGTAAAAAAAAATATTTTTTATAACATTTTGTCCAACTTTTCACAGATTTAAAAAAAATCTAATTCAAAATATGAATAAAAAACTATCTTAGTATCTCAGTTATACTCAAATAACACTTCATAGCTGTGCTCATATTCTCTCCACAATCAACATTTCATTCACAAGTATAGTATTTATTATGATTTAGCATGAAATAAGTAGGATCATGTACAGTCATTATCGCAGAGTAAACAAGACCAGCTGCACATTATCCATTACATAACGATTACAGCTTTTCAGTCTTTTCCACAATAGGTCTGTGATGTACATAACTCACACTCTTATATTGCAGTGTGAGGAGGATTAGAGCTCTCCGCTCGGCTGTGAGATGCTGACCCGGTTTGGGGCGTGAGGTGATGACCCTCTTTTGGAGTGTTACGGAACACTGACCCATTTCTGACCCAGCGCAGGTGAGAGGATTAGTGTCTAGGCCGGCCAGGAACACCTGTCTCGTTCCCCACAGGCCTTAATCCAGGAGAGGCCTCCTCAGCAACACATTCAGATTGAATTTGGCATCATTTAGTGAGAGTGTGACACACACACGGTATGATGGCTTTCCACAGCGATGCCGAGCACACACGCGTGGAGTCAGTGACTCGGCCCTCCAGCGCTCATCTCTCTGGCAGACACTCGCATGCAGTGTGAGAGATCAGGAGCTGTGTTCTTTACTGCAGTGTCATGAGAGGTAATCGGACAGACTGCTGACTCTCACTATCACTGACACACACTTCAGACACACTCACACACTAAAACACAGGTCAGTCAACACACAGGCTGAAAGAAACTGACAAGAAATGGCAGGGTCATATTTCACTCAGAAATCAAAACAAGAAGTTATATTATACTATAAAACAAGAAATTATATTAGAAAATAAAATCATATACAATGCAAAAGTCTGTAAATGTTTTGTTTTTGAAAGAAGTCTCTTATCTGCATTCAGAGAATTTGAGGGGGAAATGTATCTGTCATGAGAATAATCATAAAAACTATGCATGGTACAATGCAGTTACAAAACAATGTTACAAATTAGATTTTTTTTACTATTACACACACACACACACACACACACAAACACACACCACACATACACTCACATACACACACACACACAAACACACACATATATAAGGTTAAACATTATAAAATAAAATCATAAAATAAAAGCATACAATATAATTAAAACGTTTTGTTTTTGAAGGTCTCATGCTTAGCAATGTAGCATTTATTTGATCTGCATTTCATTGTGCTAGTTAAACCTAGCGAATTTATTTATTTGTATTTATTTTTTTATTTTTTTTGTAAAATACATGTTAATTCAAATAAATATTAATCTAATACATATTGAATAAAGATTCCAAAATGTCATTGTGGATATATATATATATATATATACACACAGCAGTGCAAAGGTTTTTTGAAAGAAGTCTCTTCTGCTCACCAAGGGTGCATTTATTTAAAAAAATAAAATAAATTGTGAAATATTACAATTTAAAATAGCTATTTTCTGTGTGAATATATTGTAAACTTTAATTTATTTCTGTGATGCGCAGCTGTATTTTCAGCATCATTACTGCAGTCTTCAGTGTCACATGATCTTCAGAAATCATTCTAATATGCTGATTTGCTGCTCAAGAAACATTTCTGATTATTATCAATGTTGAAAACAGTTGTGCTGTTGAACATTTTTGTGATACTTTTTTCAGGAAAATGTAAAATAAATAAAAAAAACTAAATTATTTCAATTGTAAAGTATTTGAAAGCATATATCATGGTAGTATTTGTTGTACTGAATTTTAATTTCAATTTTAAAAATGTGTCTGGAGAGGACGATTTTCATTACTGTATTTATGTAGCATTACATTAAGTAAAAATTTCGGGGGAAAATTATTTGTCATGATAAAAATGAAAAATTGCAATCCCAAAAAAAACAAAAACAAAACACATCTACAATAGCTTCTAGTTTATCCGTAGCAGTAACTGAAGCGTGAAAATCAATGATTGTGTCACTACATGGTGACGTCAGTGGAAACTTAACTGAATCCAAGAACTTTGACCTAAAACTCCACCATAAACATTCGGCAGCCAATTCAAACCTGGCCTCGCTGTGTTAGTGTTAGTGTGTGTGTGTGTGTGTGAGAGAGAGAGTGAGTCCAGTTCAGGCCGTGTTTAACCTCAACACACTCCAGTACTATCAACAAAGGAGGATCAGAGGAAGTTTACGGGGAAAACTGAAATCCTCCACTACACTGTTGGCCAGTAACACAAGCCACAATGGAGAGAAAGCTGATATTCCGCTGCTCGCTGCAATCCACCGAAGTACATTAGGAGCGAAGTGAACCCGGTAATCGGCTTGGCTGTGTGATGTGGGCGGATTGGCCTATAAAAGGACTTATGAGCTGGATTCATATAAACACTAGGCACATTAGGACCACGCAGAGATAAGCTGGTTACAAACCTTCTCAAACAAAGCACGTGAGAGAAAGAGAGACGGCCTAAGAATGACAACAACGGGATTTCAATTATATCAGCCACGTTTAGAGGAAAAAAATCATCTTCCTCCAGCTGGAAATGAAGAGACTGGGTTTTAGGAAGCTTGTCAACAAACAAACACTTCGTGATCAGTGGGAGTGTGTGCAAATATATTTCCAAACGGCACAGAAGATATCAAAAACGTACATATAAAAATATGTAACAAACATCTGAGATGTCTTAAAAATGTACAATAGCAGTTCACGACTGCATTTCCCCCACAAATACAGTGCATTTTGTGTTACGTGACATGGGGGTTTCTAACAGACGAAAGACAGAAAAACAGATTTAACAGTATCAAATAGTAACGTGGTGAAATTCTCAGACATATGACAAAAATATATATATTTATATATAGTATACATGGAATTGCCTTCATTGATATGAATACATAAATATGAAATCTGAGTAAAAACATTAGTTTATGCAGATATTTATGACAAGACATTAAAGCTCATCTGGCCAGTGTCCAACCAATGAAAAAGTACATTAATATATAATTTTTTGGTAACACTTTACTTAAAGCCTTCATATATAATGCATTATAAAAGTAGTTTTAATGCATTCATTATGTCTTGTAATGCATCTCACGAACCACAGTTATAACACATTATAATACTTAGCTATACACTGAACACACCTTTAGGGAGGATAATGCATGGCAAACAAACCTTCAAATATTAGAATGCATTTGGTTACAATTATTTAAATGCAATGCATTACAACATACGTTACAAATACCTTTATAATGCGTTATACATAAAGGCTTTAAGTAAAGCACAACAGTATTGAGTCTTGTGTGTGTATGTCGTGTGTAAAGCTTCAGTATTAGACTTTTGGATATATACACACAAGTATTGTAAATAAAGTCATAAAATAAACCATTTACAGCAACGTGGCGGAAAAAGGAAAAAAAAAAAAATTAGTAAGTCTCTAAATGCAGTCCTCGATCAAGCCGGGATGCAGTGGTTGGGTCTTCGGGACATGATGAAGCCCCTGAGACACACGCACCTGTACGAGCCCTCCGTGTTCACGCAGCGAGCGTTCACGCAGTCGAGCGTGTCTTCATCGTCACACTCGTCCACATCTGCAGGAGTCAAACACATCTTTAGTCGCTTCCCCTAGTGGTGTGATTATTTGAGAATGGAGGAACAGAGAGGAAAAATCTGCAGATGAGAAAGCGAGGGTTACCTATGCACGTCATGCTAGTGATGTCCAGCTGATAGCCGTCGTAACAGTCGCACGTGTAACCTTCCTCCACGCGGATACAGCGGCCATTTTCACAGCCGTGGACAATGCCACACTCTTCTGAACTCAGACTCCCGTAGGATTCATATCTCCCTAAAACACACACAGGAATCACACAGCTGCTTCTGTGTTCGTACACTACATACGAGTTCAACGGTTTTCAAAAAAGAAAAAAAAAACAAACCCTGGTGAAAAAAATGGTTTCCCTTGTGAAAAACAAGTACACTTAATTTGATCAAATGTGCACTTGTAGTGTACTTCAAATCTTGAAAGTATATATGTTTTTTAAAAAACACAATATTACACTGAAAAAACTTAAATGATAATGAAATAAAAGAAAGTTTAAAGAAAGAAAGAACACTCATTACTGTTTCTTAACGCTTTTAAAAAGTGAACTTTGTAATGTCAAATTTAAAATGTTTTAAATGAAAACACATTTTAAGTCATGTTTTAATAATCTTTTGTCACGCTTTAAATAAGTACACTTATTTTGATGTGCTGACTAACATACTTAAGTACATGGAAAGCACTTGACTAATTTTACCTATAGAGTATTATTTGATTTACAGTTTTAAATATTCTACATTGCAACTTCATTAAAATTGTGTAATTTCAAGTATATTAAAATACACAACATAAGTTTCAATAAAAATGTTAAATGCTTGTCAGTACATTCAGCAGTAACTTTAACCATATTTCAAACACAATAGAAGTGATTATGAAATTACATATAATGATGTACTGAAGTCTGACTTAAGTGGGTCAAAAAAGCACCCTTAAGTTAAACTAATTGCATTTAATATAAATTAAAACTATACTACATTTTATTTAAATTGAAATTAATTAAATATGATTAAATAAAAAATATATAATAAACATAAAAAACATGCAGTTAAGTTTACAAAAACATTACATTTAGTTCACACTAATGTTGGAAATTAACAGGGTCTTGGGGCAAAAAAAAAAGTCCCTCAAATTTAAGATAAAAGGGCAAAAACCGCACAATTAAACTGAATCTACTACGGCTGTCAAGATTAAAGTGACATGTGAAAATGTAAAGTGTTGATTGCAGCACTAAATTTAGATCTACTCATGTTGCATCAGATTAATTTTTTACGTGTTTTTGCAGCATTGAGCATTATAATCAATCACACGAGTTTCTCTTGAGCTTATGAATGTAATGGCCAATGAGAGGCGCAGAAGTTCTGTTCAGTGCATGTTTGTATCATAAACAACAAAAAAATTGCAAAAAGAAATAAGCAATTCATTTTGCAGTATAGACAACTTCTGTGAGTTATAATCTAAAATCAGCAACCAGAGCAGTAAACCACTTTGGACTGGTTTAGTATTTTTTTTTGCATTATTCTAATCTCTTGTCTTCATATTTTGGACTCACGCTCATAGACTCGTCGTGGTCCCTCCCGTCTCTCAGGAAACATTGGGAATGGGGGCGGGGCTCTCCATGACTCCGCCTCCTCTGCCTCGCTGTACGGGGAGTTTTCCGGAAACGGGGCCAAGCTGAGCGGAAGCCCATCCGGACGGGGCGGCAGGGGTCGCGAGTCGAACGTCCGCTCGCCGCGAGGATCCGGGATGCCGAAAGGAGGGCCGGGCGCGGTTTCATAATCGTCCTCCTCATAGTAACGACTTCCACTGGAGATAAGTTGGGCACAGTTACACACAGTGTTAATTTCGTTGACATAATTTTCGTCATAATTTTCGTCAACAACATTTTTTTCACCGACGACAATGAGACGAAAACTCTTTTTGAATGACAAAAACTATGACGAAAATTTATTGACATTTTCGTCAACTAATAAAAACGAGATGAAAATGTTAGGGAGGGACGATTTGGGAAGAGAATACACTTGCTGCACGTCGCATAAAACGTTCAAAAATGTCAATATGTGGGAGTAAGAGAAGAGCAGACAGATAGATAAATCTGACGACGCAAGAGAGAACTCAGTTCGGTCCGGTTTTCTGAGCACGGACACTGAAGCACACACACACAGAAAGCGCCTCTCACAGCGCGCGAGTACTCTTTCGCATCGCATGAACGGAGAATTACACACAAAATAATGTCGAATTATCCGTTTTGACGAGTATTCATGTAAACACAGCTGATTACGTCTTAAGTGAATGTAAACAAGCAGGGAGAACATGTATCAGTACATTGCATCCATTGCAGCTGTGCATTCGGTTTTAAAGGGA